TAGACTGAAAAACTGTTAGTCTATGTCATACATACAGGACAGAGTATAAAATAATAATAAAATACAATAAAAATGACAATACAAAATTTTGAGCTACTATTATATATTCCAGGACCTGTGCTTAAATTTGCTACGTGCATTGTCTCATTTAAGCCTTACAACCAGACCTGAATAATGAAAGATGACGCCTGGGAGAATGTCTTCTCTCTCCTGTTAGACTTTATATTTCTCAAGGGCAGAGAACACCTCTTATCAATCACTCTCTTCCAGCAGCAGTACCCTAGAACTTGGTGTATAGAAGGTTCTCAATGAGGCTGTGATGAATGCTGTATTTAATTCTTGTCTCATCCTTGTTCCCTAAACCAGTCTTCCTTCCTCAGTTTGCTCACGCATTGTCAAAGGCAGAGGGTTTGACTTGAGTTGTTTGTTCCTGAAAAGAGTGTGGGCGTTAAAGCCAGAGAGTGCTGCATTTGAAGCCTGCTCCACCACGTGCCAACAAAATGACCTTGGGAAGACTGCAGATGAGTTGGTCTGTGTGTCTCAGTCTATCCTTAATTCCTCAAGGGTAGTAGTGTTGCAGACAGCAGTATTTAAGAACTGCCTACTAAGCCTGTAGATCAAGACCCTAATCACAGCATTGAATATTTCTGGTTTTTAAAAAGGAATTATTTGTTTGAAAGGAGAGAGAGACAGAGAGCCCATCCATTGGTTCACATCCCAAATGCCTGTAACAGCTAGGGCTAGGCTGGGCTGAAACCAGGAGCCAGGAACTCAATCCAGATCTCCCATGTGGGTGAAAGGAGCCCAACACTTGAGCCATCACCTTTGCCTCCCAGGGTGTGCATTAGTAGGAGCAGGAAACATGAAGGAAGCCAGGACTTGAACCCAGGCACTTCAATATGGGACACAGGTGTGATCCAACTGGGGGTTTAATGCTCCCCACCACCACCACAAATATTTCCTTTTTGAAAGAAAATTTGGTGTAGTCAGAGTACAGAATAAGGAAAGAAATTGGTAAGATTCTGGACTCTGAGAATCAAGTTGACCTCAGCTCAAATTCTGATTCCACCACAATGTAGCTCTGTGACCCTGGAGAAAATTGTTTAAAATGTCCAAGCCTTTGTTTTCTCATCTGTGAAGCAGTGACATGGATTTTTTTTAATGGAATAAAAGTGAGGATGAAATTAAAGAGCATAGGAAGCACTCATTAAATGTGAGTTATGGCTACACAGTTCAGAAAGAAAAGATGGCAGGAACTGTAGCAAAAGCCTAAAAATAGTTAACTTTTGGAGAAAGGAAGGGTTGCTATCCTTTTTACCCTTTTCTACTTTCAATAGCATGGACTATTTTTCACTTTACAAAAGATTATACAGTCAGTCCTCTTACCAAGTAATTCTTTTGGGAAACTATTCTAAGGGAAAATTCTGAAATATGGAAAAACTTTAGGAATCAGAATATTCAATAGTACATTTTGAGAATGGTATAACATTGGAAACAACATAAATTGCCACAGTGAGGAAATATCCAAGGAAAAATTGGGGTGAGGTGGGGTGGGGGGAGGGTACAGACAATGGGATAATGTGTCATATTTCAACACTGTTATGGTGGTAGATAAAAAGAGTTTCAGATCAAAGAAACATGCACATATTGTAATGGCAAATGAAAAAGGGACCCATTTGCAAGTTCAAGGTCAGGAAGTAACCTGCCTGGTCAGGAGGGTAAACTTCATGATCCCTGTGTTTAGCAGAGAGAATGATTGGTGGCTCAGCATCACCGCTCTCATGGAAATCCTGGAACAGGGGGACACTGTTTTGGGAGCTCCTCTCCAGTGGGGTGGAGGTAGGGAGGATACAGTTCACAGTGGAAGAGACTCTTAAATATCCTGTGAAAACTTAGTCCTGGAGACTTGCCCAAGGTCACATAGTCAGCCAGCAGTGGAGTTCAGGACCTGCTCTGCCATGGGGCATTGTCCCACTCACCAGGTCAGCCTGGCTCCAGGAAGGTTGAGGGGCTCAACTGGACTCTACTGAGAATCCAAATGTGGAGCCAAAGAATATTCCTGGGAATTCCACATCATTGTCTCTGGTTCCCTCCAGGGCACAAGCAACACTGGGGTGAGGAAATGTGGTTCTCCTAGTCCTCCCAGGGGACCAAAGAAAGATGAACTTGTAAGGAGGAAGCTGGTGTGGGAGAAGGGGGTTGTCCTCATTAGCTCTCCAGATCTCCCAGTGCTGAGTGAAGGAAACACACACACGTGACTGAGTCACTTGAATGCAAGTCCGTGCCTACATTTTCCAGGGGTTCCGGATTCTTTGATCTTTCACCATGTGCTTTGTTTTACAATGTGGAGAGACAGCCAGAAAGTGAAGGCCTCTCTCCTTCCTCACTGTGTGCCCAAGGAGTCAGTTTCCTGCAACAGATGGTGAGCTTGTGAGCTCTTCCCAGTGCACAGCTCCTGACCTGCACACTGGGAAGTTCTGTTCAAGTGGAGGGAGGGATAAGGGGAGAGAAGAAAGCAAGGAGAGATGGATTACACCCTTTAGGACCTGCCACTTCTTTGAGACCGGAAACATAAGGGAGAAGACAACCCAGGTGAGACTCAGAGGCTCTGAGCTCTGGACAGAGAGCTCAATCTAAGTTCCGACTCCAGTTGCTATACTTCCACAGGGGGAAGATGCCAGGGTGAAAGGCTGTATACTTACAGGACAGTCCAAGCAGAATGTCCAGCTGCTCTATATAACTGTCACAGTCCATCGTAGGTTGTAGCCCAGGGCCTGGCTGATGGCTGATCCTGACTGGTCACTGCTGTTATGAGGCACAGGGACTAAGAGCTCCAGGTCTGCATGCAGCCAGACTACGTGGGCATCAGTCTCGATGGCACCTCTGTGCTTGAGCAAGCTGTTGGTGACCTCTCTATGCCTCAGTTCCCATCTGCAAAGTGGGAACAATGATGGCACCTCTCCCATGGGGTTGTTGTCAGGACTGACTCCAAGGATTAGTACTTTGTACTCAGTTCTTGGGACAAAATAACGTCAGTATGTGTCCTGTGAACTATGTTCCCATGACTGTGATGGGAACCTTCTTGTGACCTGAGTATAGGACTATCAGTGTTCTTGCTGTGCTACCAACAAGAAGCCAGCATCAGCACCAGGTTGATGTAAACATAGCAATGCAAAGACAAAGTAACAGAACTCTGCCAGGCATTTAAGGCCCTTCACATTTCACCCCATCTCCCTGTACAACTTCACCGTCTCCAACCTGTGACCACAGAGTCTATGACTCAGTCAAACCCCAATCCTGGCCGGTTTCATAATTCCTTTGTTTTCTTTTCTTCATCCTCAATGACTGACAAAATTCTACCCTTCAAGAAGATCCAGCTTAAATAGCTTCTCCTCAATGGGGCCCTTCTGCACCAGTCTCCAGGAGCATGAGTGATTCTCCCCAGGCTCCCATCATGCTATTTTAAGTTGTGGTGAAACTATTATTATTTCCACCTGCCTCTCTACACGCCAGCCATCTCAAAGGAGAGAAGGGTCCTCTGGGAAGCCCTTCATTTTGCTGAGCAGGATGATAGGCAAGAGTGCAGGTTTTGTAAGCTGAGAGGGGTTAAACTGTACTGCTCAAGGAAACAGAAAATCACGACAGTGCGATGGTGGGGATTAGAATAGTAGGACAGAGGGCCAGAGAAGAAAACGAGGAACAATCTAGGGTAGAGAGAGTGGTGAGAAGGTGAGAAGGTGAGAAGGCTATGGCTTCTATCAGTTTTGAATTTGGCTGAAAATCTGCAAACAGCAGAAATTTATTTTATAAGTAATGGATAGCCATTGGATGAATCATGATCATGAGTGGAAAATAGTGAGGCCTGTGGGATGCATCCTGGAGACAAGAGGAGAATGGATTGGAGATTTGAATTTTGAGTAAGCACAGTTCTTCTGAAAGTTGTACCTCAACCCGGGCTGGCCTGGGGAGGACCTGCCGTGTGTTAAGGTGCAGGGGATGGAGGCACTGGGACAGAGCCCTGGGGGAGATGTTGGGGGAGAAGAGAAGGATTGGATGCCATAATTACACTTGCCCTGGTGAAGTTAGCTCATGTGCCCAAGTATTTTAGAGAAGGTGGTCAGAGTGGGCATCAGGATGGTGATGTTTGGACAAAAATTTGAAATTAAGTGAGAGAATGAGTCACTCAGATTTCCAGGGGAAAAGGAGCCTAGGCACAGGGGAACAGTGCAAAGCTCCTGAGGCAGGAAGCTCCGAGTGCGTTGGAGAAACAGCAAGGAGGCCAGCGGAAGCAGGGGGATAGTGGTAGGAGCTGAAGTTGGGGAGTTAAGACAGCATATCGCATGGGAACATGCACCCTTCAGTAAGGACTTGCGTGTTTCTGCTGCGTGTGAAATGGAACAATGTAAGAGAGGAGGGACATGCTCTAACTTATGTGTTAAGAGAATAACCCTGGCTGTTGTAAGGAAGATGGGGAGATGTATGGTGCCATGGGAGGAGGTGGAGATGGAAACACGAGGACCAGGCAAGCGATCAGACTGTACTCTGCACCTTAGGCCAATCTCAGGATGGTATCAATGGAAGTGATGCAAAGGTGTTGATACGTTTTCAAAGCCGATGTAATGAAGTAGCTACAGGTGTGAAACCAAGAGAAACAAGGGGGACTGCAGTGATTTTGGCCTGGTCACCTCTTTCCAGTGCACTGTGTAGAAGGCATGCCTGTATCCATGGGTCATCTGGAGTGGCAGTGCTCCGCAGAAATACCCATATTTTTTAACCTCTCTATGGCTCAGTTTCTTTCATAACAAGGGAATTATGGTCATAGAGCTTATAGGGTTAGCACTGAATAAATTAATACATGCAAAGTACTTGGAACTATGTCTGGAAAACAGTAAATGCTATATACATGACATACTTGCATATCCTGTTCCTAACTGTATTTCAGCAAATGAGAAACTGAGCTTTTCATGTCTATACTGACTCTTATTTTGGATTCTATCTAGATGCTCTCTTATGGGGTTTGACCTGAATCGGCACTGGCTGGATCCCTCTCCATGGGCCCACCCAACCCTGCATGGGGTGAAGCAGCTCATTGTCCAGATGTACAACGACCCAGTGAGTAACTGAATGCCCCCAGCGGCTGCTGGTCTTATAGCCTGGTCTGGGAAAGGAAAGTATTTTGTTGGGAAGTCCCTTAGGATGAAAATAAGGAATACAAGCTCCAAACCAGGGGAGGGGTGGGTCTGCTCTTTGCTGAACTTGATAGACCCAAGTACCTTCTCCCTGACCCCTCACAAATCCTGGGTTCCATTGTGGAGATTTTGTGGGATGAAGGAAATATACTGGTGCATACCTATATTTGTCAGAGCTCTTTGTTAACTTAAACTGGTATAAGCATATAGGGAATTTATCAGATAAATAGCACGAGTATGTTGTATAACTAAAAACTATGGACTGATCACCTCCATGTGCAGAGAACATAATGGCCAAGTGTCTCAGCTAGGAATTCTCATCACCACCATGACTTCTTCCCATTTTCTAGTTCTACTTCCAAAAGGACAGTGATTGGCCTAGGCTGGAGGATGTGTCCTCCTTTGGGCAAGTCAACCCTGGCCCAAGAGCTGACTTGCCTCGATGGGCCCTCATGGTTGGAGCTGGGAGAGGAGGTGGCACCTATTCCTGATAAGAGGGTCTACTATTCCAGAAAAAAAAAAGGAGCACTAGGCAGGCAGAACAGTGTGTGTCCATATCAAGTTCATTCAGAGGGAAGAAGTTTTTGTTTGTAAGAAATAGAAGGCAATGGGATTTCAAAACGTGGAGAAAGGGGGAAGACCATAATCATTCTATCTCTGAAGAGCTATGGGAGAGAAGGTAAGATAGATCTTTTCCAGGTATGCTATATAAGAAGAAGGGCCTATGGAGAAATAGGACTTCTTAACCATTAGAGCTGCCTGAGCATGGAGTAGGTGTGTGAGCTAGGAGCTTTGCTTTACTGAAAGTGTTCACTTGAAGCTAAATGACAGTCTGTGAAAAATGGTGTATAGAGGAGACGCAATTGTTTGGAAGACATTCTAGAAATTACATCTGAGTCTCTTTCAACTTTGATCATTGATTTTTTATGATCTCTTGACTGCTATCAGTGACAGATGGTGGTTGTTAAGACAGCAAAGGTCCCAGAGTTGGGGGTACTTCACCAAGGTACCAATGTAAATCATTTTACTTACCCTGTTGAAGATGCCAGTATGATATCCTGAATTACAGAGCAACTGCTATATCGATCAGACAGAAATGTATGCTTGAAAAACAAATGTAATTATTACAGCAAGGATCACTGAAAAAGCAAATCCTTGGATGCAGTGTGACTATCTTAGTGATGCAACTCAACAGTTACCTGAATCCTTCTGTGTGGGTTTTGTGGATTTTGTCTTCCCACATCCTTTTGTAGCCCACTTTCTGTGTCAGGGCTTGCACAGGAATTTCTTGACACACTTGCCGCCTTCTCCATCTCATCCTCTTTTGTCTACAAAAGAAGGTGTTGTACCAAGTCCCTTTATTACCCTAAACTCTCCACACCTTCCTGTTCAGTTTACTTTGTACAGAGACTCTGCTTCTGTTTTTCTTAGGGAGTATCCATTGTCTGCTGAAGGCAGACTCAAGGCCACTTGTTAACTGTAGATTTGCTGATAGAATGACCATTCCTTTTTTCTGCTATCCCCCTCTCAAAGAGAACAGCCCTTACAGTTTTTTTTTTATCTAATTGGTAATAGATATTCAATGAATGTTTGAACTGAACTATATTGAACATGGCAAGTCCTATTATACAAAATGTAATCTGATTTATAGATACACAACAGTTATTTACAGAAAAGACTGTGAGGTATGTTAAAAAGCAGATACGGACCAGAAGGAGTGACAGAATATAAGCCATTGAACCACTGAGCATGGTGGTGTTTTAGGTGTACCCCAAAAGAGAGAGTTAGGGGAATGGGAAGACAGAGGAGGGACCCAAGGAGAGGCTGTCAGGATTGTTGAAGAGGAATAGGCTCCAGCCAACCATTGCCATCAGCAATTACAAATTATTGATTTGCTTACAAACAACTGGGCAGTCAATCACATTGCAAAATGCAGATTAGACAAGACTGGATTATGGAGGTATTAGGAAGTTATTGGTGCCAGGAGTAAATTGATCAACAGCTAGTTGTATCTTAATAAGTACACCTTGGATGCTGAACAAGTTGTGTGAGCCATTTTCTTCCAGAAAGTTAATTGCTTTATGCCCAAGGCAAGGAGGTCGGGCACTAGAATAGGAATCAAAATGACCTGGAGTAGGAATTCAGCTCCCTCTCTCCTCATGCAATCTTTTCCTTTTTTGCTTATTTACTTCCTTCTTTATTTGAAAGGTAGAATTAGAGAGAGAGAGAGAGAAAGAGAGAGAGAGAGATCTTCCATTCATTGATTTAGTCCCCAAATGGCCACAACAGCAGGCGCTGGGCCAGGCCAAAGCCAGGAGCCTGAAACTCCATCCAGGTCTCCCACGTGGGTGCAGGGACCCAAGCACTTGGGCCACTCTCTGCTGCTTTCCCAGGAACATTAGCAGGGAACTGAAAAGGAAGTGGAGCAACTGGGACTTGAATGGCTCATATGGGATGCAAGCATTGCAAGAAGCAGCTTAATCTGCTGCACCACAACACTGTCCCTCCCTAGGATTTTTTAATAGAGAACTATTCAGTACATTAACATTATCTATAGTCATCCTACTGTGCAATAGAACCTCAGACGTCCTTAACTCCTATCCAGCTATTAACCAAGTTCCCATTAATCAAACTTTCCCCACCTCTCCCAACTCACTTCCATCCAAGCCTCCAGTAACCATTATTATATTTTAATTTCTAAGAGATCACCTATTTTTTAGACACCACATATGAGTGAAGTCATACGATGTTTGTCTTATTTCAATTCACCTAATGACCTCGAGCTCCATACATGTTGTTGCAAATGACAAGATTTCATCCTTTTTGTGGTTGAGTAAATTCCATTGTGTGTATGTACCACATTTTCTTTATCCATTCATCAATAGATGGACACTACTGCCATTGCAGCACTAGATAGCATGCTAAGTCATGGTTAGCTTTGGTCCACCGTTGTTTTGTTTGGTTTTGTTTTGTTTTAACCAATTCAGTCTTAAAATATCCCCTAATCTCAAATTTGCCCCAAAGCTGCAGTTTATGTATTATTCAGAATGGACAGGAAAGTGCCTAAAAAGGGATAATCTGTCCATACAAACCTCTTCCTATGCCTCTGGTAGGCTCAGATTCCCTATCCTGTGATCACAAAGGCCATGATGCTGGATCTTACCTGGAGCCCTCAGCTCACCACAATGAGTGCAGCCTGTGGGTACAACCAAGGTTGACCCTGATGTGGTCCATCTGCAGCTGAAGTGGGCCCAAAACCTGACGCTGCCCCTGTCAGCCAAGCTGGTATTGGCTAGGGCGTACGAGCGCTCAATCAGAACCACAGAATTCTGTTGGGCACTGAAGCAGGTCCAGAGACTCTTTCTGCAGGCTGGATTTTATCAGCCTGGCCCTGAGTCCCAGAGCAGTCCTGTGAGTCCTGCTGTCTGCTGAGATTGTAGGAGGGTTGCTAGAGGCAGCTCCCCAGCCACTTAGGCAGGCCCTAGGAGAGTGACACCTGGCTCTCACAGTCGCCAGGCCCTGTGCCATCTTGGTAGTGCACAGCAGGCCTGCAAAAAGATGGTGGTGCTACACACCAGAGCAAGTCTGTCCCACCAGGGTGCAGGTCCCAGCCTGGTCCTGAAGCGCATATTGATACTGCCTACAAACACTGGCCTCAGACTGGAAACATTAGGATCTGCCCAGGGTTGGGCTTTACTGGCCCAGCACTGAGCTTCAAGACAGTCCTGTGTCCCCTTGCTGTTTGCCCCAGGTTTGAGGAGAGTGGTAATGGAGCCCCTAGGCTGGTCATACCCAGTTATCACGGTTGCAAGTCTCTACAATGTCCTGGGGGTGTCCACAAAGCTCAGCAAAGGCAGGCAGTGAGGAATACCAGAGTGAGTCTGTCCCCCAGAGCTCAGTCTCTGCCTGATGCCAGGAAGGCCTGGAGACTCTGTGAGCACTGGATGGGGGCTAGACGCCTTTGAGCTGTCTCAGGGGCTGGGGCTCAGCATGGTAGACCCAAATGTGAGCTCCAAGACGCGGTCCTGAGCTCCCTCTCCTGGTGGTTGGGGTTTTGCTTTCTGCGGGTGTTTGTGGGAGAGGTGGCAGAGACGCCTGGCTGTAGAAGCTCCAGATATCCACTCTGCAGCTGTGGGCCTGGGAGCAGGGGCAGGGTGCTCAGTTCTGAGCTTTTCTGCAGCAGACCTGACTCTAGGATTCAGTTTCTGCTCCCCGTCCCCGGTAGGGGACGTCTCTCCTCGCCTGCTCCTAGTCCTTGGGGGAAGGCTGCTGCAAGCAACACTTTCTCTTTTGCTTTCTTCAATTTGACTTTTTTTTATGATTATAATAAAACAAGGTACTGTGGTCTCTGACTTGTTTCTGTCGTTCTTATAAAGGTGACTTGGTGTGTGTTTAGCTGTTCTCAGTGATGTCTCCATGGGGAGGTGGAGCCTCCTACGCACTCACCATCTTGGTGCCCTTCTCCTTCCTCTCTGTCTTTCTTCTCTCTCTTCCTCTCCCACAAATATTTATCCACCAGGTTTCCATGTACAAGGCACTGCAGTTATAGTGAGCAACTCACTCCCCTTGTAATACTGTGGGTAAGTAGACATTAAACAAGCATAGATTTATAAAATGTGCTGGGGCTTTAAAAAACAAGCCACTACCAAGTGCTTTCTACTAATAGATAGAATGTTCATATGTCTCTGCTTTCCTGGGAAAATTCTGGCTTTTATCTATTGTCCTGTGGTACTTTCTAAATTGTGTCCTCTTTCACTCTTTAAAGTGTCCTGATTCGGATGATAAATTGTGCATTTTCTCCTGTTCAATGTGATGTGAAAGCACCAGGCACAGTACTGGTGTGTAGCACATGCTCAACCAACGATTTGGGTCTGATTCAAATTCACAGTTGACTTCAGGCATCCTTGTACTCAGTGGCAAACA